TTCCCTTGCTCTAGCTAGTTTATAGATATATCCAACTCTCCTTCTTTGGTATCTAGTCGCTTATACATATCGTCATAAGCCGCTAACTTAGCTTCTCTCACAGCTTTCTTCGCTTCTTGCTTCGCTTTTCTATACCTTTCACCATTTTCATCGGTCCTATCCTTGTATAAGGCTTTACAACATTCCTTCTTAGCCTTCACCTTTGTTTGTACCTCCTCATTCCACCACCAAGATTCCTTTTGGTGTGGGGCAAAACCTTTGGACTCTCCTAATACCTCTTTTGCTACTTTTCGAATACAACTAGCCATGGAATCCCACATTTGGCTAGCTTCCCCTCTCTCTATCCCACACACACTGGGTGATTACTTTCTCTTTGAAAATGACTTGTTTTTCTTCTTTTAGATTCCACCATCTAGTCCTTGGGCACTTCCAAGTCTTGTTCTTTTGTCTCACTCTTTTGATATGTACATCCATCACCAACAAGCGATGTTGATTAGCCACGCTCTCTCCTGGTATAACTTTGCAATCCTTACAAGTTATACGATCTCCTTTCCTCATTAGGAGAAAATCTATTTGTGTTTTTTGACGACCCACTCTTGTAGGTGATCACATGTTCTTCTCTCTTCTTAAAGAAGGTGTTGGCTAAGAAGAGATCATATGCCATTGCAAAATCCAAGATAGCTTCCCCATCCTCGTTTTTCTCTCCCCAAAACCATGGCCACCATGGAAACCTCCATAGTTGCCTGTCTCCCTGCCCACGTGTCCATTTAAATCTCCATCCTATAAATAACTTCTCCGTCTGAGCAATTCCTTGCACCAAGTCTCCAAGGTCTTCCCAAAATTTCTCCTTCGAACTCTTATCCAACCCTACTTGAGGTGCGTACGCACTAATCACATTGATAAGTTCTTGTCCTATTACAATCTTGATTGCCATGATTCTATCTCCTACCCTCTTGACATCTACAACATCTTGTGTCAAGGTCTTGTCCACGATGATGCCAACACCGTTTCTCGTTCTATTTGTGCCCGAATACCAAAGTTTAAACCCTGAGTTTTCTAGATCATTTGCCTTACTACCAACCCACTTAGTTTCTTGTAGGCACATAATATTTATCCTTCTCCTCACCATAACTTCCACTACTTCCATAGATTTTCCCGTTAAGGTTCCTATATTCCACGTTCCTAAACGCATTTTGCTCTCTTGAACTCTACCCTTCTGTCCTAGCTTCTTCACCCTCCCCCGTCTAATAGGATCAAAGTACTTCTTTTGTGTGTCCCGTGTAAAGTTGATAGGAGCATATGCTCCCAAACAACTTTGAGTGGAGTCGTTCGAAAAGAAGTTTCTATGGCCCCCTTGCTCATTTAACACTGCATCCGGGTGCCGATGGAGATACAGCGACCCTTGCTCATTTATCACTGTGCTCGGGCCACACAGCGCGCCACTTACGAGTGACGCCCTAGCTTTAGCGCGATTTTGTTCTGGATTCATTTTCATAAGGATTCAACGTGATCATGGAGTGCCGGCTGTCGACTACCTGACGCCCTCCCCCTCCTCCTTTATCCGGGCTTGGGACCGGCAATGTAAGATACATAGGCGGAGTTTAAGCCATCCAAGACTAATACTAGAAAACCAATTAGTACATAATATTAACTTACTCCCCATAACTGAGCAAGTAATGAATCATTGTAGTGGATAGAGTTTTTTTCTTTAATCCACTATAAGTATTCACTGTAAGTTCAGTTCAAAGCTATCGGGATAGAACGCAGCCCCTTTCTGAGAGATTTTTCAATGTGTCTGGAACATAGGGTTGTACACCACACGTTATTATACAAGGGACTATATACTTGAAAAAATAAATTTCAACCATTTAAATTATAGAGTATCGTGTATCAGGTCGTGTTTCCAACACACTGAAAAATTTCTTCCCCTCTATTTAATATCGATTATAACCACTAAAAATGGAGCTAGCTTATGATAACAAACCCACCTGGAACCCAATAAAAAGAAAAATAAAACTTCAATGAGTGGCAAAGTTTTGGGATATTAATTCGTTATACCCAAGAACGGAAAAAAAGAAGATATGAAATTATATCAAATAATTAATTTTCTTATCGTGTGATTGAATTGAAAACACCATTTTTACTTTTCATAATTGTGTGTGCATATCTCATCGAACTTCAGCCATAAATATCATGAAAAATCATCACCAAAATCATAAATTCGAAAACAAAGATTTTGAAAATAATGATGTCTCTTCATTTATTTGTAATTGTTTTTATTTTATTTGTATTTGACAAGAAAATTGATAGAATCCAGATATTGTAATGGTTTGGTCAACTAAACACCTAATTTTTATTGACAAAAAAAAAGGCCTAATTTTTAGTACCCGCGTTGAAGAAAGGATAGCGTAACCGTAACGTTTCTTCGAAGATTCACATTCCTCCTCTACATTCATTCGCATCTCTCCTTTGTTCTCGGCGACACAAATTACGCACCACCTCGTGGCGTGCAATTTATAAGCTTAAATCACGATAATGATATTTCGACTTCAATGTTTGAAGTAACGACTATGAAGTAAAAAATAATTAAGAAAATTATAGAGGTGATATGTGGCTTTTTAGATGAAAATGATAAAATTATCCTCGATGTACACCGGTATTCCCATACGCATGCAACGGATAATAATGACTCAATCAATAAAGAGTCGAAGGTGATCAAAATGATATTTATTCAAATTTCTCTCATCACTCTTCATCAAATCCTTATTTAAAAGGTAACTTCCAATTTTTCTATTTAATTTAGATTTAATTGCCAAATTAATTTCAAGATATTATTTCACATAATATCTTCCAATTACACTCACAATTTGACCATATATGGCCAGCCCTTATTTTTCAAATAGGGCCGGTCACTCCCCTATAAATAGTCATGTTTTACCACTAAAAAGCTAAGTCATTTTTACCTTCTCACAAACTCTTAACTACATTCTCTTTCAAATTCTAACTTTGGCATAAAAAATTCTTCAACCAAAACCCCCCCTCATTCATCGTGAGTGCGTAAGACTTTTGGCCTTAATCTTAAGTGTTATTATTTTGCAGATGCATTTTCGTCAAATAAGACAACAGCAGAAATTTGCATCCACAACGACACAGTCAAATTTGCTTATACAATCGGTAAAATATTGTGGAAAATGAGAACATGAAAATAAAACATGATCTTCAATGATGTAAGTTTCATGCTATAAGTTAAGGAGGTAGATTGTCTGCCCTCCTGTTTCCGTGCCCTTCTCATCCCCTCCTGTTTGTGCGGTCACGGTTAAATCACGTCAATATTTTATATTCTTATTGTTTTTTGTCTTATTATCTCTATTAAAATATCAATATAAAATGTTGATGTGACTTACCGCAACCGCATAAATAAGAGGGGATGGGAAGGGCACGGTAACAAGAGGGCAGACAATCTGCCTCCATAAGTTAAATCCAACATATTTTGAGCTTGTCAACCATATATAACTATGTGATATTATTAGTTTATATGTTATAATAATATATTTTTGGTTAAAAGCAAGACACAATGCCGAATAACCGCGACACAAGAAGGAGAAATTTTCAAGTGTGTTCCTGTTATTTGTGCCTCGATGGTGTTTCCCACTTGTGAAAATTTAACATCTAAATTTAGTTAATTAAAAAGAAAGTAAAAAATATCTTAAGAAATTTTCACTGTGAGAACATCACCTGACGCAAATGCCGATACCCCTAAATTTGTCTCCACAAGAAAAGAAAAGAAACTTAAATTGCAGAGCTAGTTTAAAAAAAAAAAAAATTTAAAAATCCACTCACGGTGCTAGGAGTAGGGGTGGGCACTTAGAACCGAAAACCGAAACCGAAACACGAACCAAATCAAACCGCACCGAACGGTTTGGTTTTGCGGTTTTGAAACGATTTGGTTTCGGTTTTGGCTTTTGAAAACCGCACCGAAACCGAACCGCACCGCAAATATTAATAAACATTTAATTAAATGTCCATATTAGATTTCATGTTTTAATTGGTTGTTTGTTAAAATCCATACACTTAGTATGGACTCAACCACACTAGAATATCATCATTCATCACTTTCTTTTGTTCATTAACTTGAAGGACCTTTGTTATTTTATACCATCACACACACATATATGTACAAGGGTGGATTAATCTTGTTATCAAGAGTCGAACAATGATCTACTAAAAGCCACTCATTTGAAGCATGATATCACATATTCTAGTATGAAAATTTCGCTCACGTTTAATGAATTCAAATTTATTCAACTTGTTTTATGAAAAATATTGTAAGGGACACATTTTTGTTGCACAAACATGTTTTAACATCACAACTACATGCAACATGCATTACATAACAAATGTCATTTTCCTATTACTATTGGGAAATGCTTTTTAATATGTTAAATTGCAAATTGTACATTTTTTCTTAAAAACCAAACCGAAACCGTTTGAAACCGCACCGAACCGAACCAAACGGTTTGGTTTCATTTTGGTTTTGGCTTCAAAACCGCATCGAACCAAACCGCAAAAACTTGCGGTTTTGGTTTTGGTTTCACTCAAAACCGCACCAAACCGAACCGCGCCCACCCCTAGCTAGGAGAAACAGCTCTGGACCAAGGGACTCCAACTAGATCAATCAAAACAGCAAAAAAAAATTCAGAGAGTACAAATGATTGGTACGTTGCATATTTAAAATATAATCTTAATTAAAAAAATATGTTCAGAATTCACGAGTTATAATGTAATAAATAACTGATTAAAGTTGATAAACAATTAGAAAATAATACGAGGCGGTTAAGACTGAACAACTTCTCAGTCACGTCCTAACCTACTATTTGAAGTTGATTAATAATTAGAAAAGATCTCGTTGCCTAAAACGCAGCGTGCGACCCAAAAAAAAAATTAAATAAAAAAGGAGAGAAAAAACCAGAATAGAAAAATATTTATTTAAAAGGGAATTGAATTGAGCCACAACCATCGTAGCACGACAGTTATACTCCCAAATCTCGCCTAATCAACTTCTTCTCTCGCCGATTTAATCGTAACGGTCATATTTCATCATATATTCCCACATTCCCAACTATCCGATCACTCCCCGAAAAAGCACTTTTGTGAAAAGCCGCCTTCCTTCATACTCTGTGATTTCTCACTCTCCCTCTCTCTCTCTCTGCTTTCCTTTTTTTTTTTTTTTTTTTTTTTGCGATTGTTTAATTTTCTCGGAGCTGCGGAACTCGCAGGGATAGTCGGAGGTTTTGCTTTTAGGTCCCTGGAGTTTTGTTAATTTGTGAGGGGTTAGGGTTTTTGGAGGATGAGATTTGAATGGGATTTTGTGTTTCTGCGATGGTAGCTGCTGTGTCGACGACATTGAACCCCAAGGCCGCGTCCCAAGGAGGAGGTCGTCCCCAAAACGCCACCGTAAGGCCTCCTCTTCTGCCTTCTGAACCCGACAATGGCTTCGCCGTTCCTCGCCGCCTCAAAGCTCGGGAGGTCACTTCCCGGTACATGTCCTCCTCATCTTCTACTTCTTCCTCTACTTGTTCGAATTCGAGGCGTTGTCCCTCTCCGTTGCCGTCCAGAACCGGCGGTTCGACGGCGGCGACGCCGTTGTCGCAGTCTGTGAAGCGCTCGCAATCGGTGGAGAGGAGGAGAGCTGTCACTCCTCGACCCAATTCTTTGAATTTGAGGACCGGGAATGTTGGTGCTGGAGGCGGTGAAATGTCCGCGGCTCAGAAGCTACTGTTCACTTCAACGAGGAGCTTATCGGTGTCGTTTCAGGGCGAGTCGTACTCGCTCCAGGTGCGTAAAGCGAAACCGGCGCCGTCTCCGAGTACAAGGAAAGGCACTCCGGAGAGGAGGAAGGCGACGACGCCGTTTGGAGCAGATCAGAGTGAGAATTCCAAGCCGACAGAGCAGCAGCGGTGGCCTGCGAGATTGCGACAACCGAATAGTATGAGTAGGAGCTTGGATTGCACGGATGAGAGGAAGAGGATGAGTGGATCTGGCGCCAATGTGGTTAGAGCATTACAAAGCTCAATGGTGGATGATGTTGATGGGAGATTGAGGTTGAATTCCTGCAATTTAGTCTCAGGGAAAGCTACTGAGGCTGTTGATGGGGGCAATTCAGGTAATACACAGTCCGAGACCGAGACTTGGTCGAATTTTGATAGTGTGTCTTTTGGCAGTGCTAATTCAGGACCGCACGAGCTTGGTAATGGCTGTGGTGGCGGCACCAATGGCTACGTTGGTGTTGGACAAGCACCACGGCCTAGAGGGATTGTTGTGCCTGCAAGGTTTTGGCAAGAGACTAACAGTAGATTGCGCCGCCAATCAGAGTCTAATAAGGGTAATGCAACCAAAAATATGGGTTCTCCTAAACATATTGAGAGCAACAGGTTATCTATGGATAGTCCAGTGTCATCTCCTCGAGGTGTGGTGAATAGCAGGGGGCAGTTATCCCCTATTCGTGGAGCTGCTGGGCCTGCTTCGCCTAGTAAGCTCAGCAGGTCGTTGGTGCCATCTTCGCCTATGAGGGGATTGAGCCCTTCTCGGATGAGGAATGGAGTGTTGGCTACTCCAAGTAGTAATTTGAGCATGCCTTCAGTTTTAAGTTTCGCTGCTGATGTTCGAAGAGGGAAGGTTGGAGAGAACCGGATGGTTGATGCACATGTGGTGAGGCTATTACATAACCGGCTCTTGCAGTGGCGCTTTGTAAATGCAAGAGCTGATGCCACCCTAGCTGCACAGAGGTCCAATGCAGAGGTATAGCTTCTGAACTTTATCCTTAATGTCTGGCTTATTGTTTGGTTCCACATATTGAATAGATCTGTCTTGTTAACTATTTTCTTGTTTATGGGACCTTTGTTTTTATAGGGGAATCTGACTGCTTTTGGGTTTCTTTTTCTTAATTGATCGCCTTTACATCTCTTGGTTGTAGAATTTATCATCATAAATTTAAGTTGTGATTCAGGTTTCGATTCTCTTAATATTATATGGCATCCCCTTCAGTTTTGTTCATAATATATTGTCGATTATCCCCTCAAATGTTCCAAGTTGGATATTGACAGCATAAATTGAAACGAGACTTGTATTTGCAGTCAATGTTGAAGTAAGCTAAGGTATTCTGTGTTGTGTGTTCTGATCTAAAAACATGTTTGGGGAGGATGAATGACGTAAAACAGGGGTGCTAAGTTATAAGTTGTGACTTGTGAGGAAGGGAAAAAATGGATTCTTTTAATTCATTCGATGTTACTTGTCATGTGATGCATATTTGTGTATTGATGAGAACCGTTAGGGTAGTTAGCTTGATAGCTTCTTGGCGCAAAAGCATGATGATTGAAGTTTGACATGCAGCTTGGTGGCAAAATGCTGTATTGAATTATTATTGCCATATGAGATCAATAGGCTTTTGTTTGGGAATCTTCTTCCAAACACATACTAGATTAATTATTTTCCTGTTTTGACTATCAAAGTAGAACTCGTTGTGCACGAATAGTATTCTATAAATTTTGTTTTCAGAACTTGGGATGAAAGTGATTTGTAGATAGATGTGGATAGTTACCACTGATTAAAACTTATTGTTTTAAAAAGGAATCTAAGGTAGTATTAATAAATATTGAATTAGTGAAGGATGCATGAATTCAGGATTAACTACTTCTCTTTGCTTTGTTATATGTGTTATACTTAATTCTTAACTCTAATTTTAGTTGTCTAAAATTCCTTCCATCAGGGAAGCCTCTATAATGCATGGGTAACGAGTTCAAGACTTTGTGAATCTGTAAGACAAAAACGGATTGAGTTACATCTGCTGAGGCAACATGTGAAGATAACATCCATCCTAAAGGGGCAAGTAAGACCTCTGACTACATTCTGCTTTTATTTCTTATCAATCTTTGGCCTGGTTATTCATGATTTTCAGTTCATTTCCATGTGAGTTCTACTTCTAAAGGCCATCTAGCGCTCAATTTTCAGTTACACACATGCACAGATAGATTGACTGAAATCTGAAAAATTACTTATTCTTTAGAGGAAAGAATTATGTCTTTGTCTTCATGGCCATTTTGTACTCCTCAATGCATGCATTGTGTTGAGTTTAATCCTTTATCTTGATGAGTGCAGATAACATATCTGGAAGAGTTGTCACTTATGGATCGGGATTACTCGGATTCTTTGTCAGGGGCCATTGAAGCTTTGAAAGCTAGCACGCTCCGCCTTCCAGTTGTTGGAGCAAGGGTATGTACCTCTCATATATCTCTTCTTTAGTTAGTTCCTTATATACCCTGACAGCTCCTTGCCTAACAATTTTTCATTTTTTTGGCTCTTCATTGCTACAGGCTGATGTCTACAATGTGAAGGATGCTATTTCTTCAGCAGTTGATGTGATGCAAGCGATGGCATCATCAATATGTTTATTGTTATCGAAGGTGACTTTCTTTTATTTTTATCATTGGAATCCTTGCAATCTATGTTTGTTTTTTGCATCTATAATTAGTTCAGGACCATGATGAAGGGTGAGTTGATTGTTGTTATCCGCAATTTTATTCATTGTGCATGCCTTCTAAAAATCTATGCTTAGAGTCCTTCCAGGACTGCAAATAGAGGTTGTGACATAATCCATGTAGGTTCTAGAGTGTGATAGTTGACTTACTATGGTTGTAGATATAAATGATGTAGTTTAGAAATTCAGTATTATCGCTACCAGTGCTGGCTTTTTGAGCAGAATACAGTATAAATCACACGTGACAACTATGAAATCTAATGGGTATAACAAAAAGGTTCCGTGGGTTTTCACTTATCAATACCAGTGGTTAGAAAGATCTTATAAATGGAGCGATATGTATGTAAAATGTTTTATATCACTCGCAAACTATTGAACTTCCTGTTTAAAATTTTTTTTTTTTTTTTTCCATTGGTCTGAAACCACATGTAATTGATAGGCTGGGGATGTGAACTTTTTGGTGGCTGAACTTGCAAATATAACTGCGAAGGAGCATGCTTTGCTTGGTCAGTGCAGAGATCTATTGTCAACAGTTGCAGCCATGCAGGTAAGATTCGTATTTGGTTTCGGTTTCAATATCTAATCACCCATTGGATAGGAAGAAGACACCAGTTTAGTGGTAACTGATGTGAATTTTCCCATTATTTTACCATGAGATAAACCCAACCCTCATAAGTTATTCCTGAACAATTCTGCTGTAAAATCTGTACCATTGATTTTGTGAACAGGTAGAATGATAGATGTGACAACAATATATGACGTTATCGGTGCTGATACAGTTTGCCGTTTATAATAATGCATACTGGCCTTCTTTCAGATTCCTCTTGCCTTATTTCTATCCACTTGACATAAAGTATCGCATAGAGGAATATGATCCGGATCGATGGCATTATTCCCTGTACTTCTACAGCCTCAAATTTTATTCCGATCCAAAACCAATCATGAAACGTAGTTCATAACCGAAACACCTACCTCAGTTTAATTTCTAGAAACACAAGGGTCCCGAAAACTTCGCCTAATTTTGGGAGACAGTTTAACCAATCATTTTAGGGGTAGAATTTGAGTGGTGCAGCTTTCTATTCTCCAATACCTTTTAACATTCCTGTCCTCTCTTTGTCATTGTTTATCTTATCTGCAAAAAATTCTGTTTTTAATACTCAGGTGGAGGAATGTAGCCTCAGGACGCATATTTTACAACAGAAAAGCGTACCTGACAGCCTCACGGCGGAAGTGTAAAGCTAAACCGTATCATGACTGCCTAAACAGCTAACAACAACATCAGATTCTTTTTCCTTTTGCACATATTTACCTTCGAATCCATGAAGCCGAAGCGAAAACAAGAGAAGAAGACTCAATTATGCCTGTTGCTGTGTTTAAGGTACTACGCGGAATTGAGATGTTTACGTGCATAGATAGCAAGAAATTTGTGTTGTCAATATCAAATTAATTTGTATACACCTTTACTTTATCCGCAAGTAAAGAGGAAGGATAGAGATGTTCTCCGGATCTCGAACCGGGCAATCCGAACCACTTAAATTGAATCCGGGTGTCTCCATTAACTCATTCAGCTGGGCATCTCACATAAACCGACGAATCGGATTTCCTGGTTCCTAAGCTCCGGACACTAAAGTTTGTAGGGTATCCAAAGTCCAAGAGGAAAATGTGTAAATATGTGCAGTGATGCTTTTAATTTATATTTAATTTAATAGCTTTTCTATTAGCGGGCGGCGTTGATATTAAACTACAATTGCTTGTAAATGCTATCTACCTAGATTACCATGGGCTTCAACTATTTGAAGGAAGCTGTGGGTTCGAATCTATGCTCCATTTCTATAATCAAAAGAAGTAAAACGTAACTGAGTCTAATTATCGAGAAAACTTTCATGAGCGGGAATTTGTTTTGCGCGAGCAAATACAACAGCTTCAATCTAGTGTAACTGATCACGCAAAATACAGCCCGCTACCTAATGACCCTGCCTAAGTATATATATTTTACACAGATTTTCTTTCCTTGCAACAAGGTTTGAATCTAACAATCTTTTATAAAAAGTGTACGGGATAATTAGTCGAAATTAAAAGTTACTGGGGAAAAATTTACAAATGAATTAGAAGTTTAGGGAGGATTTTGACAAAGATTAATGTTATCCACGCACTTACTTCCCACACATACTTCATAATTTTAGATCGTTAGATCGAAAATATTGAAAAATAAAGTCAATGATAAAAAATTAACATTGGTCGGTAAAAGTAAAAGTGCCCGCGTGTTGTATGAACAACGCAATGCCAATCATGAGAGAAGAGAATAGGAGAGAAATGTAGGTGGGGGACCCACACAGCATCTTTGAGAGACGCGGCGAAGCGAACGGATTAGAACAAATAGTTGATGTGTGTCCTTTTCTTAGGTGTACCTTTTTTATTTTCGAAAAAATTAAAAATTAAAAAAAATATATAGGTGCTGACGCCGAGGAACCCACTTCCAACGGCGGAGGTTTTTGCCCGTGGATGGGGGATGACGTGCCCCGCACCATTTCTCGCCTTCATTTTTCTTTTGGTCAAAAATTTCTTGCTTTTCTGGGTCCCACTTCTCACCCCACTTCAAATCCATCCGTTGATTCTCCTTCGGTTGCGGTCCTCTCCATATTCTTCATATGCTTTTGATTAAATTCCATTTATCCATCCCTGCCTCGCCGGCCTCTGACACAAAACCTCCACCCTTTTATTTAGATGGCACGTGAAGTGCCTACTATAACAGGGTCGGCTTTAAGAATTTGAGGTCATAAACCAACTTTTGAAGTAGAGCTCTAGATGTACCTAAATATACCACTATCATAAAAGAAAAACAATGCAACTCGCAAATCATCGTTTCCAAATTGAGTGAGCTTCAGCTTTGTTTTTTTCTTGATGAGAATGGTTCAATGAAGTTGAAGTGTATACATACGAATGGTTGATTTAGCGATATTCAGTTTCTTCTTAGTGAGAAGAGGTTTAAGATTGACTACACGAATGCAAAGATGATTCGTATTTTTAGGGAGTTGAATACTGAGTTGTGGTTCATTGTCATGTTATAGATGTGTTAACAACTAGTTGCAAAAATAGCTTATTATAAAACGTTGTGACTCATTCTCCACTTTTTAATGCATCTAAAAGGGAACCAGCTGATGACTTCGCAACCGATGTTAGCTCTTGAGCTTTTCATCTCGACACTCGTTAATGTTGTGGTCCCCAAATTAGCTAAGTTGACTATATATTTAAACTTAATTTTATTTATTATTTTGGAGAACCTCCTAATCTCATCCAAGTTGTTCTTTTGAAAGATTGTATTAATTGTCTTATTATCAATATAACGCTATCGCTTTTCAAAAAGATTTTTTGTACAGAAAATCTTACAAATACCCAAAAAAAAAAAGAAGAGGAAAATCAAGTTGATGCTTATTAGTTATGATGAATATTAGATTTTGGGAATTGTTATTAGCATTCCAAAAATTTCATTTTGCACTCCAAACTTTCTATAATTAGAAGGAAAAATATACTTGTGAGGAGTGTAGAATGAGATTTTTTTAATGCTAATAACAATTTCCAAGACCTTTTTTTAATCTTGTTGGGGACGGGTGGGCTGTTGTATATTCGTCACATTATCACTTTTTTTTTTTAACACCCGATAGTATCTACATCAAGGGATGAGGGAGTGGGATAAACCTTACAATGAGTTTGTCATAATAATGTTGTTTAACTTCGCTTTGACGCGAATCGAACTTAAGACCTCTTATTTACAAGTGAATATAAATACTAGTAGACCGTACGTAGTACTAAGTTGGCTCGTTATATTATCACTTAACATGTGATTTAATAGCGAATTAAAAAATTATATAATGATATATGATATTGCAGCTAAATAATAACCATGTATATAAAATTGCAATATTTTAAAGATATGTATAAGGTTACAACTCAAACTTGAAGATGCAAAATACAATTTACTCTATCAATACGCACAAGATAAAGCAAATGGCATGGCATTTGCATTCCCCCAATCTTTGTGTTATCTCGAATAAGAGAAATGTTAAGGAGACTCTCTCAAAAGTAGAACTCTTCATGGACTCTTTACCACCTCATGCTTGTGGCACAATGTTTTATAATGTTAGCATGAGAATTTGTGTTAAACAGTGAGGTGATACAGAGTACATGTAGAGTCCCACTTTGAGAGTTAATTTGGGATTGTATGCTGTGAAAAAAAAAAGTTGCTTCTGCTGTTTTGAACCCATTCTTCAAAAAAAAAATTTATTTACCAAACACAATTTTAACCTCAACCTTTTTAAAAAGTTGCTTTAAAAAAAAACTCAGCAATGCCAAACCGACCCTGAGAGTGCCCCCTTAACATTTCTAGGAATTGGATCCCCTCCTAAGCAAATGGTGGAGATCCTCATGACCCACTAACATGGGCCGTTAAATTTTGATCAAACGCCTACAAACAAGGGATCCCTTTAAAAGTTATAATAATTGTAGCCGTTTGATCAATATCCAACGACCCATATTAGTGAGTCATGAGGATCCCCACCATTTGCTCATAAGGGAATCCAATTCCACATTTCTACTTGAACAAAACGCCAATAGTAGTTAGAATGAATAATCAATAATTACAACCAAACTCCACATACTGATTTATAGTAAAAATCGGAAATCAGAAGCACATCTGACATCGACTAAATTATAGATCACATGTTGTCACCAGTTACGTAAGCATTTTTTTCCATTTTTTTCAGGTTGAGAGCATTTTTACATTTTGTGTTTCCCTTTGTTTCAAGTTCAAGTTTTTATTTATATGCTTGTTGCTGCACATGTTTTCGAGGTGGTAGAACGCCATCAACCCATATTGCATAAAGTATTGCCGTCATGTCACATGTTGAAAACAGTGGGAACGAGAAAAACTTTGTTACACCTCGATACGCCATTATCACACGTTGAAATACCGCTCAACACGCAATATCATGTGCAAACGCCATTATCGCACGTTGAAATATCGCTCAACACGCAATATCATGCGCAAACTCCACCGTCGCACTGTGGCAAAAAATGAAAATACATATGCGTTGTTAGTTTACAATTCACGACAGTGTATTGAGAATATTGATAAGTTTTAGTCCACGATCCTAATAGAAATTGAAGGGTAAATTACATAAAAATACCCCAACTATAGACCGAACCACAATTTCATATCTCATGTTTTAAACATTGTAATGTTATACTTCAATTTATGAATTCATTGCAATGTCAGATCTCCGTTAAAAAATCTGTCAATTTTTCTATTAACTACTGACGTGGCAGATTCGGTCCGACTTTGTCTTCTATATTCATCGACACATGGGCTGATGTTAAAAAAAAAAAAAAATCTGTCAATTTTTCTATTAACTACTGACGTGGCAGATTCGGTCCGACTTTGTCTTCTATATTCATTGACACATGGGCTGATATTAAAAAAAAATAAAAAATAAAAAATAAACTAATTTTTTTTAAATGAAAAAGGTGGGCGCAGAGCCTCCTTTTCCTTCCATCGTGCTTCCCAACCGGGTCTCCGCCAATTCGCTCCGGTACCCGCCCGTCTTCCTCGGAGTAGTGGCCGAACGGGCCTCCACCAAATCACGGAGTTACATAATTGCACTATTTCATTCGAGCACCAATTCGGATTGCTCGAGTTTCTTCGAGATTAAACCGATTCGACAATGATGGCAGAGGGACTTGTCATTTGGGGAAATCAAACTTGGGTTTTGCGGGTTCATGGGTTTTATCATTTTTCGTAATTTTCGCCTCGGTTGAGAGGATGGAGCAGGAGATGGCAGAGGCAACGGCAGAATTGGGTTGCAGACGAGATGCGGGTGCGGCGGGGATGGATTTGATGAGTTTGATTGCTGCTTTTTTGCTCGAATTGAAGAGACCCAGGAGGAAGGAAAGAAAAGAGGCTACTATTCGACCCATCGGGGCTGTGGGAGGAGTCGGAGGGGGACGACGGGTGTTCTGAGGGGAAATGAGGGAGAGGATTAGGCCGGAGAGAATGAGAGGTAGAAGATAAACTTCAAAAAAAAAAAATCCTGGACAAAAAAACAGTAGAGGGTGAAAAGAATTTTAGAAAATAGAAATAATCAAACGCTAGCGAGGACAATCCGGTGGTCGGAGAAGGAAGAGGACTTCGCCGGAGTTACGACGGCGAGGGTGGCGTCTGGTGTGGGAGAAGGAGTATGCACGGTGGTGGTGATGGGGAATGAGGTGCTAAGCTTAGTGGTGGGACCATATTCAATATTTTAATTTTTTTGTTAAAAAATATCTTCATTTGTTAATATTTAATTAATTTATCCATCCGGTTGAATGAGGGAGGCGCTGCCTAGCTGTCACGTCAGCCGTTAATAAAAAAAATTGACAGAATTTTTAATAGAGTTTTGACATTACAACGAATTTATACGTTGAAGTATAATATTATAATGTTTAACACATGAAATATAAAATTATGGTTCCATCTTTAGTTAAAGTAGTTTTATATAATTTACCCAAATTTCAATAAAACAATCTCATGTCGAATTAGACTAATATGAAGTCGTGTGAAATCAAATACACTAAGAGCAACTCCAGCTATGGAGCACTCCCCCTGGCAATCCACTATTTAATCCACCATATTGAACAGTAACTGCCTTAAATGAATAGTAACTACCATTAATGAACAGTAATTGACAT